CGTATCCTCTTAAATCCTAACTCAGAACCAAAAAACAGCAATTAACTTCCCCAAGGTGATATTCCCTGAATAGAGGGAAAAAACATCAGGCTCAACTCGAGGTTCTGCTCTGTGCCGAGGAGTAAAGAAGTGTGGAGTCCAGAGCTGGAAGACACCTGAGGGGGAGAAGCTCCCTATTTGTTCAGAAGCACTTGTTCTCCTGTGACCAGTAGGGGCCCCCTAATGCGTTGGGTCAGAGACCCAGAACACACGGCCCGGCCTCCAATCTGACTTCCTTTCCGTATTCAAATATAGAAGATTAAAGTCTTGGCATCTTCTGCTTCACGTTTATTTCTCATACGTCTGACTGTTTCAAATGATTTTTTATGAAATAACTGTATTGTTGTATGACTAGACTACTTAAAAATAAATGATTATGGAAACAAAATAAGTCCATCAAAGGGTTCTTCATAGCCTCGATTATTGCTTTTCAACCACTCGCGGTCAGAGCCCATGAAATCCTGCAAGGTATTTTCATATCTGGGGTCAGAGAACTGCCCTTCTCTCCTGCTCTTTGGCGCTTTGTGCTAGGCTGTGTGCTAGGCGCCTCCTATGCACATCCACGCTCGGCCTGTGCAGCGCACCCACAGTGTTGCCGCTATTGCTCCCACCGTTGCACACCGGAGGACACTGAGCCCTAGGGACGTGGAGTGAGCTGTGGTGCCAAGACAGTACCGGGAAATCCAGTCAACAGTTTGCTCGCCATGAAAAACAGCAGCCTGGATGGAAATGCTCCTCCTTCCGCGGTCTCTTTTCATGGGCCACTGTCAAACTGGTTTGTGGACAGTGACTATTAGTGGGTCAACCATTTTCTTCATACTTTCTTATCTGAATACCCTCCAGTTGTGAGGGGGAGGGGAAGAAATACAAATGTTTGGGCTGACTGGATCCTCGGTGTATAGCTACTCTCTGCTACGCAGGGCCATCGCAGCCACTCAGTCTGCGTGTAATCGGGCTCATCTGATGGACTCCACGTGTGATCCACTACACAGCAAGTCTTCAAGTTTAAAAGCTTCCTTGTCACCCTCAGGGAAAACGCTTCCTGGTTTTCAGTGTGGGTCCCCAGTACGATTCTGTGAGGAAGGGCTGCCCTTTGCAGACGTGTGGGAGGATGGCCAAGGTTTCCTTCTGTCCTCTTCACCTCATTTCCTCAACATCCATCCTCCCCGCAAGAGGAAGACCTTGGCCACTTCTGAGGCCAGGCTTCTTGACCCTTCCCCTAAATTCTTCCCCACTCTGTCCTGCTTGCTTCCAGCCTGCCCCAGCCAGTCTGTGCTAGAGCTCCAGTAGCCAGGTTTCTCAATTTAGCTTAGACTGGACATAACCAGCAACTAACAAGAGTTGCTCATGGCTGGCCTTTTGGTATTTATTTCCTGAATCTCCATCTGGCTCTAGCCTGCTATTTCAACCTGCTTTTCTCTATAGGTTCTATTTAAATTCATCCAGAACCTTGTTGTTCCCCACACATGACAGAGAACGTCTCCTCTTCCTACCTTTGCTCTTCATTTCGTCAAGTCACACCACCATTCACCCCAGTGTCAATGCCGAAAGCCGATCTGTCTTTCAAAATTCATCTTAAGGCCCACTTCCTCCATGAAGGCTTTGCTGAGAGAAACTGATTGTTCCTTCTTGTAATCCCTGCAGTACTGGGGTTTTTTATTTCTTTTGTTCTTTATGATCCGTCTTCTATTACAACAGTGGTTCTCAATTCATTCTCAGAGTCAAGTGGGATACTATTTAAAATTGCATATGCTTGGGTCCCACCTCAGAGATTCTAACTCAGAAGCTACAATAAAATACCATAGACTATGTAACTTATAAATCAGAGAAATTTATTTATTTGTCATAGTTCTAAAAGCCAGAAGTCTCAGACTTCTCTATATGTCCTCACATTATGGAAAGAGAGGGAGAAAGCTCTCTGCGATTCCTTTTATAAGGGCACTAATCCCCCTCATGAGGGTCCCACCTTTTCTACTTAACTACCTCTCAAAGGCCCTGCCCCCTAATACCATCACATTACCCTTAGAATTTCAACATATGAATTTGGGGTGGAGGAAACTCAACATTCATTCCATAAAAGGATCCTACTTATTTGCATTTTTAATACACAATCTAATGCTCAGCCAAGGCTGAAGAACTTATTTTGCATTATCTCTGAAAAAACAAAGGGTATTACTAGGAACAGTAAATGGAAAGGTAAGTTTGTGTCATATATCTGAACCTCAGTTTACTTATGTTTAAAATGGGGACAATAACCATAGATATAAAGTTTAAGGGAGATAATAGATATTAGACATCTTAGCTTCCTACAAAATGTAGACAATACACATTTCCCTCACTTGATAATAAGCTTTCAGGTTAGCACATAGTTTAATCATACTGGTTTATGAGATCTATGCTGTGCGTAAAAAGGGTAATTCACACATATACACATTCACTGGCTAAACTGAGTACTCATGATTAAAGAAAGCTTATACATGTGGCTTCGTCACATGGTGGTTTAACTTTGAAGTGCTTCTCTTTTTTGGTAAAGAGGAACTTTCAGCTTTGCTAACTCATTCACAGAATGGACATGTAAACTAACACAGCCATAGCTCAAATCATATTTATACAGAGGGAACACCACCCTGGAGCATTTACACAGAGATTTCCAGTAGATAATCTGATCTTCTCCCTGATGCCCTCTGGGAAATGTTAACGTGCCCGTTCATAGATGTAGAATGTGAATCTCAAAAGAACTTGGAAGATTTGCAAATAGTTGCATAAGTAGTAAGTGGCAGAACTACAACTTGAGCCCACTCAGTTTAATTTTTACCCCACTGCTGTTTACCTTTCATCACAAGAGGCCCCAAGAATTATCCTGGTTAGCTTGATCAGAGTATGTAGATAACCATTCTGCTCACTAGAGTTCCAAAAGGCATAACGCAAAAGATATTTTGCCTTTGCTTATGTGAATCAAGTGGGACATGTTGCTTCACTGGATGTACTTTTGTGATTAGTACCTGTGTGCTATTCCTTCCACTGGGTCCCATACCTGACTGGCAAACTCCTGCTCATCTACCAGCATGGAGTCATGGGCGTGCACATGCACACACACACACACACACACACACACACACACACACACATACAGCACCACATCAGAGCTGGACCTATTACTGAAAATCCAGACTCAGTAATTCTATTTTTAAAGCACAGACACCAAAGAACCAAGCCCTCCAGTTTTGTTTTCTCATCTAAATCATTTGCCATTATATGTTGAAGAAGATTTAATTAAAAACCCTTTAAATACTATAGATCCTTGAAGTAATTTCACATAGGAGCAGATAAATGTGAAGACATTTTCATTCAATAAAAAAAGGTTTTATTCACTAACGACAATATAAAGGAAGCTACATCTAAGTTATATATCCAAAAGAATAATTTGATCTTAGAAAGCTTGAGTAATTTTGTCAGGGGAGGAGCACTGTGTTTATATGAGGAACTGATTGACACATCTCGCATGTCCATTGTCCACCTCTGCTTTGTGATCCAGTTCAAATTCCACCTCCTTGGTGAAGCCTATCTTGATTCCTCTTCCCCCATAATTTCACTTTCCTCCAGAATCCCATAGCATTTCATCTGACCTTCTGTTAAGTTGTCTCCAACAATCTAGGACCCATCCCACCACTCAGCATATGGCGACTGGCAGGACATATTTGTTGACTGACTGAAGGAATCTACATCATGGGCATTAATCTGCTGTCTAGGTCTATTCTCACCCAGGACATGTTACTTTGGATTGCTTACAAAGCTCCTGAGAAACATGGGGAAGGAGCTGAACTCCTTTTCAGAGCATGTCCAGCAATGACACTGTTTACAAATTACTGCACTACTTATCACACATATCGACATATGCATACATATGCAAGAATACCTGCCCTTGCAGAATACACGGTGTGTGGGAGGTGATATGCACAAAGACCATGTGGCAATATGCATCTGAAGTCAAAACAAGGGACTCTATGTAATTTTGAAAAGCAACCCAAAGGCCTCTGTGTAGATACACTGTCTGGAAACCCTCCTTCAGCATCTTTCTTCTTTGGGAATATACAGAACATCTCTCTCTCTCTCTCCCTTGTTTCGCTCTCCACGAATATAATCCAGCCCTAGAGCTACTGCTATACTATGGGCCAGCCTAGGTCTCAAGGGAGAGGCTATAAAGCAAACTCTGATGAAGCTTTTAACTCTCTCTTAACATTCCATGAGGGCTGTGTCCCGGCTCCTCCACAAGCTCAGCATGTGTCTTGCACAAGCTGTCTAAAGCCTTCCGAAGGTTGTGTGAGGATGGACAGAGGTAAAATATGCACAGCAGATATTTCTGGGACATCATGAATATTTAACAAATGCCTATTATTGTTACAGTTGTTGTCATCACCATCAGTATTCCTATCTTTGTTTTTCTCAGAAAATTCATTTTATAGATTGGGAATTTTCTAAGACCACATTAATGCCAAAGCCACATCTTCCAGCAGCTGATCTGGGACCCCATACCCAGCTGCTTTGTGACAGCTGTCCCAGGCATGTGCAGTCTCCTCTGAGACAGTGAGGGCGGATAAGTACAGAGATTTTATAGCGGAACTCCTTGGTCCCAGGATACCTACCACTAATCTGAGGATGCTCTCCTGCATAAACTAATACAGACTGAACACTTTACAAAGCCAGAAAATGTAACCAGGTAGCTTCAGGATTAATCTCATCTTCCTTCTCCTTGACCAGACAGTTTTGCAAAGTTAAATACCTAAAAACCTCAAAGCAAAGAGTAGCAAATTGAGCTTTCTTTTCTGTTGAAATGCTCCCCCGTTGTGGAGGTGCTAAATCACATTCTAAGGTTGCAAAACTGTCAGAGTGTAATTAACTTGTGTTGCTCCATATTGCTGATGCAGCAGTTGTTTAAGGCATGGCTTTATAAGGGACTAAAAGACAGCAGTGAGTGACAACGGTACTGTGAGCCCCACAGTGTCCCCTTGGCCCTACCCAGAGGGACAGAAAAGAAGGCCAAGAGCTTGTGTCTGAAGACAAGGCCATGCTGTGTATGAGGACACTTCTATTTCTTCTCCTACTCCGCGCTCAGCCTGCCAAGGCCTCTCCCATACCCTCTGAACACTCAGAAGAGGAAAATACAAAAATTGCTAAGGTAAATTAACTGTCAGTTGAATGGTGGTTGCTCTCCTGACTACTAGGAGATTTTCAGGGTTGTTTTCTCTTTTCAATCTAAACAGCCTGAAGGAAATTTTCTGTGTGGTTTGGTTGAGTTCTAACATCTTTCTTCAGTGACCTGGAGGGTTCCAGTCTGGTAACACTGGGCTCTCTGAAATCTTGTCATGAAAGTAGGTGGGACTCTTCAAGGCCTGTGAATGCACTGCTGCAGAGTACATCCAGCTGGAAACCCCTTGAGAAGGAATGGTTTTGTTTATAAAACTTCCTGTGCGTGACTTTCTTTCTTACCTATGGCTTTCTCCTCTAGTAGGTCTGTGACCCAGTAGTTACATGTTTGCTGCCTCCTATGTGACTTGTTTTGCAACCAAAACTGCTAGGTATAGCGGACAGCATGTGAACGTGAGATTATAATGAACGAGAAGTTAGTAAATAGTGTAATCAGATTTCCCAGCACTGGATTGTCAATTCTTATAAACTCTTGGAAGCATTCTCTGAGCAAACCAACTTTCTTTCCCCACGGCTTTACAGTTTGAAAGGCCAAAGCTTTAAGAAATACAAGAGAAGCCTGTCAAAACTTTCTCATGCATAATTTTCTTACCCTTGCAATTTTGGAAAAGCACTATTCTTGATACTTTTTTCCCTTTATAATGGAAATATAATCCCTTAGTTTATACTGGCAATATCTAAAAGCTGTCAGCCTATCACAGCCTGTCACTATCTGAAGCCTACTCTGTACAAGGTACTCTGCGAAGTTCATGATATTTCTTTGATTGTTACATCCATTACAGAGGCCAAAATGAATCTTAAATCAGTAAGTAATGTGTTCAAATTCTCACAGTTAACCCACGGCTGAGCTAAGATTTACCCAAACCTGTCTGACCCCAGTGTGTGCGCTCTGTCTCATGTCAGCTGCAAAGCTGGGACAGGTAGTCTCAGGCTTCACGAGGTGAGATAAAGAAATCTCATGATTGGCTTATTAACACCCCTCAGAAACTTTATTTCCAAATGAGTGTTGACACCTTCCAAAAATTACTTGGTGAGTAAAATTCTAACATCAATTATGTTATCATTATCCAAAAACATATTTGGAGCTCTTTGGGTTTTTTTTGTGGGGGGGGGGTTGTTTTTGGTTTTGGTTTTCTTCCGGTACCGGGAATCAAACTCACGACATCGCACTTGCCAGGCAGGCGCTGTGCCGCTGAGCTAAATCCCCAGCCCTCTTTGGAGTTCTTTGGAAATGAGCAACTCTCACTTAAGAGGCAGTATGGCCAGTCAGAGCCTGAAGTGTCACATTATAAATTCCTCCCCTCTCCATGCCTCCTTTTCTTATGTGCTTTAATGAAAACTTCTTTCCAGTGGTAAAAGAAGATTTAAAAAGGAAATCTGCATTGGTTCAGCGAATAGTTTAACGGACATTTAAAAGTGTTACTCCTAATGATTTCAATAAAAATAAGAAGGCAATATCCTGATTAATAAATTTTGTGTGTGTGATTTGATCCACATCTTTCATGAGACACCTATTTTTATGCATGAATATTAATTGAGCATTGACCGAAGGGGCTTTTCTTTTCCAATAGCCACTGTTCTCTCAAGTCAAACTCCAAGCTGTTACTGTACATGTGGCTGCTAGGTTATTGGTCCTCACTTGAGCTCTGCCATAACTTAGAAAAGATTGCAAAATGCCCCAAGCACTGAGCACAATTTCAAACAAAGGACCTGTTAATGCTTCTTTTGTCCAGAATTACCTGGAAAAGTTCTACCACTTGCAAATAAAGGATTATCGGTCTCCAAGTTGGAATAGCACTCGTATGTTTATTGAAAAGCTGAAAGAAATGCAGCAATTTTTTGGGTTGAATGTGACGGGGAAGCCAAGTGCAGAAACAATCGAGATGATGAAAAGGCCTCGCTGCGGAGTGCCAGACACTGGCGATTATATGATGACCCCAGGAAACCCCAAGTGGAAACACACCAACCTGACCTACAGGTAATCTTTCCAAAGTTTCAGAATTCATTCAGTCAGCTAGCAGTGACTGAGCTCTGAGGACATGGGGGCAATGTTCCTGCACATAGGATACCCCAGGGAGAAGTAGATAAACGCCTGACCTTGCAGAGTGTGAGGAACAAACGAATGAATAAAATGCAAATTGTAAACAAGTATGCGAATGAAGGGCTGGTGACTTTACGGGTTCTTTTCGCACCCAAAGCCTGTCATTTTTGCCCTCCTTCTCCAACGAATCTAAACAAGTCTACGGCAGTGTAAAGTTGTCTCTAGACACTCATCTTAAGGCCAAAATAAGGCTTAGAAAATCTAACCCCACTTCCCATAGATCCTGATAATAATAATCATACCCTGTATATGTGGACCACTGTTAACCGAATCGTGAACTGTCTTACATGAATTTAATCCCCTCAACAACTCCGTGAGATGGATCCATTTTATTTTCCTCATTTTACAAGGGAGAACATTGCGGTAATTTCTCCAGTCCCACATCCACCTTTGCCCTGAGGCTTGCACCACTCCCTTCCTCCCCTCCAGTCGCAGGGCAGCACAGATGCAGCTCAGAGCCACGCAGTCTCCTCGACGAGACTGTGCTGAGCACTAACTAATGCTTTGTGTGCCTTCTTGTCTTGAAGGATTAGAAATTACACCCCGCAGTTGTTTCAGGCTGATGTGGAAACAGCTATTAAAAGAGCGTTTAAGGTGTGGAGCGACCCGTCGCCCCTGACCTTCACCAGGGCCACAGAGGGAGAAGCGGACATCAACATCGCTTTCGTCCAAAGAGGTGTGCTCCAGCAGTCACCCTGCTTTGCTTTCGCCGGCTCACCTGAGGCGCCGCAAGGACTAAACACAAATTATCTTGTTTTAGACCATGGTGACAATTCTCCATTTGACGGGCCCAATGGGATCCTTGCTCATGCTTTTCAGCCAGGCCAAGGCATTGGTGGAGATGCTCATTTTGACGCAGAGGAAACATGGAGCACAAGCTCAAAAGGTAAACTAACCAAGATCTTATCCACATGCTGCTTCTAAATTACCTTTGTCCACACGAGTCTGCCCACATGCGTGTGCATCTATACACACACACACATACACACTACTGTAGCACTGCAAATTCATACAAATAGATCCTTTAACACCTTTGCCACCTCAAGATACTAAATTATTTAGGTTTAAAAAAATCCCAAAGCTAATTACTGACCTTACTTCCTAAGGTAATGTCTCCATCCATTTGTGCTGCTATAACAGAGTACCTGAGACTGGGTAGTTGATAAGGAAGAGAAATTTATTTCCTCATGGTTTTAGAGGTCGGATGGCCCAGAGTCAAGGTGCTGGCATCTGAAGAGGTTCTTCTTGCTGTGTCCTCACAATGGCAGAGGACAGAAGGGCAGGACGAGAGAGAACAAACTCTCCTCCTGGAGCCCTTTTCACAGCAGCATAAATCTAAACTTCTCGTTAGGTGCCCTCCCAACACCATTGCACTGGGGCTAAGTTCCCAACACATGAATTTCAAAGAGATACATTCAAATCCCAGCAGGCAGGGATCAGGTCAAACCCTGCCTGCCCCTGTCTTTGTCATGTTGTGTTGTAGGAAGCCACACGCATTGCTCATGCCTTGTCCATGCCTTCCTTCCCTCCACAGCCCGGGCTCAGCAGCTGCAGAGACACGCAAAGCCTAAAAACTGTGCTGGCCATTGCTTTAGGTCATATCTCCTCCTAAAATTCTGAAATATAATGATGTTTGAAAAGGCCTATTCTTTAAAGTTTTGCAAATTCAGAAATAATTGAATTTCCAAAATAATAGAGTAATTTGGAAGGGTATCCTGTTAGATAAAAATGGCCACATCCTCTCCTCTAGTTATTTCACTCTCATAGATCTCATTTGGTGCTATGTTCCTATGCAGCAAACCACCTCTTTTAGGAAAAAACCTTCTGACAAGAAAGGCAGGGAAGAAAAAATGTGAGAACAGGTATATCCAGACCATGATTGTTTGACAAGACCATAGGGCAATAATGTGTACTACTCAGAAAATAATAGGAGCAAGGGAACACTGTCAGATACTAAAGGGAGAAGTAATTTCTGCTTCGCTTGCTTGACACCTGCTCCTCCAACCACTTTCTCAATGTCTAAGTTGTCCATCTATACTCTGCCTAAGCCCCTGTGCTAGGTACTATGTGTACACAAAGATAACTAATAATGCCCACTCTTCTTATGCGCCCAGTAGTTAGGGGGATCATCTGCTTAATGATACAAATTCCTATCTCAACTACCCTCCTCCAGTCACTGCAGCAAGATTATTCCTAGGAAAGCCCACCTTGGATCCTATAACTCACCTGCTTTAAAGTGTTCAGTATCTACATATTCTCCATAAACCAGGCCCAAATAGCTTTACTTGGAATTAAAGGTCCTAGCGACTGTCCATCCTCATTTTTCTTGGTTTGTTTTCATGTTTCAAATACACAGCCACAGTATGAGTTGACTGTTTCTAGATCACTTCCTGGGCTTTCATCTTCCCTGTATTTGCTCACATTCCTTCCTCTTCCTGGAATGCCTTTCCCATAGCCCTAACCTCACCTTCCAAAATCCCCCTCCTCTAAGCATGCAATGGCAAGGGCACCCTCTACCTCATCTTCAGCTGGCCATGACAGCCTCCTCAAAATATTCCTGATACTTTTATATCTCTTTCCTAGCTGTTCGCACTTGTTGTTTTGTGCATTCGAGTTGTTGGCACACATGCTCCCCCTTGTAGATTATGCACTCTTGTGCAGAGTCAGCTCAAATCCCCACAGCCTCTTGCACCGTACTCGGGGCATGTAATGGGTGATTTTTGAGATACATAATGTTCCTGAAAGCGTGATGGAAAGGTGTGTTAGAAAGAAAGCAAAGCTTGGGGCACGGGTAGAACTTTACTTCCCGATTATCAACAGAAAGTTGAACATTATGGTAAAAGCACAGGTCTTGACACCAGAACTACAACTTACTAGATGCAAGAGCAATAAAAAGATATTTAAAAGCTGAGGGCTTTACTTCCTTTACTGTAAAAATATTACTAATAAAACATCATGAAACTGTGTAAGAATAATGTGTAAGAATTACACATTATTACATTTCCTAGCATATGGTGGGTACTCTGAAACTATGATTACTATTTTTTTTTTCAAAGTAAGTAAGAAAATGCACTACGTGTTTATGAGGAGGCACGTAGGTTGGCTGGACTGAAAGACACCGGAAGTTCAGCCCTCAAGTATCTGCAGGAGTTAGGTGGGGGAGCTCTTAAAAGCCAGGAAAGGGAGTTTGGGCTTTGTTTGATAGGAAGTAGGATCCTTGTAGTTTGAATTTCCACCACATGGAGTCATTTACCACACACGCTTGTGTTTCAGGTTACAACCTGTTTCTGGTTGCTGCTCATGAATTCGGCCATTCTTTGGGGCTCTCTCACTCCACAGATCCTGTTGCCTTGATGTATCCCAACTACGCCTTCAGGGAGCCCAGAACCTACTCGCTCCCTCAAGACGACATCAATGGTATTCAGGCCATCTATGGTAAGGTCCTCCAAAGAGCCTCGAAGTAGATGGTGGGACCACATGGTGGGATGCGGATGAGCCCCAAGAGTCCAGCATCTCAGCATATCTTCCTTTGTGCATCTCTCACATTCTGTCTTGAGAGCAAGTTCAACCAAACTCTAAAGGAGGCCCTGGGCATTGGCTTCTAATTCTGCCTTAAAATGTTAGGATGAGATACATCTGCTGTTTCTCCATGTTTATCCTGAACAGTGGGGATTTTCCACTCCTTTTTTATGTTCCTTGCTTTTATATATTCTAAAAGGATGTGACTTTCTCTGTTTGTATAACAATCCTGCTCAGTGCTGTATTCATCAAAGAAGTTTTCACATAGGTCCGTAAGGGGACAGGTACATAACATGTGAAGGATGTTCACTAAAGTCTTGTTTGTGGTAGAAGAGGTTGGAGGGTCCCAGCGGACTCATTAAAAGAAGAAAACACCAGTACAACAAGGTAGATGTGTAGCAGGGAGTAACATGCAGCAGTCAGAAGTGCAGAATTAGAAGCACACAGCCTGAAAAACATCATTATTCTTATTAAGCAAATAAAACCTTTAAGAGAGCCAAGTGTACAGTGAATGAATGATTCATAGGATAGTCTGACAACATTCCTCTTCAGCTGAAGATCTGCAGCTTTCTGAGAAGCAGCTAAAGGATGCTAACAATCACACTGGACTTATGCTTAATAAAAATTCTTTTTCTCCCAGGACCTTCAAACAACCCTATTCAGCCCACGGGACCAAGCACTCCTTCAGCCTGCGACCCCAGACTGACATTTGATGCTGCTACCACACTCCGTGGGGAAACATTTTTCTTTAAAGACAAGTATAAAATTCAGTTTCCCCTCCTTTGACTTCTTAGTGACATACCGTAGAACCAGACTCTAATGGAGTTACATATTAGCTTTTCCTTTTCATTCTACACACATGCATCATTGGATTATTTTTTAGCATTTTTCTGAGTAACACAAAATGTCAAGAAAAAAAGCCCTAAAACATTCACATATTTGTGATGATGTAAACAGATGTAGGCTATAGTGGCTTGGGAACTCAACAGCTGAGTTGAACTGAAGCAAAACATCTTTTAATTTCATCCGAAAGCAACCAAGTAAATGGAAACTGTCCCTTTACTAGCAGTGAGGCAAATCTTCTGACTGAAAATTTCCATTTTTTCTACTGGCTGCTTTATGAATGTGGAGCCACAGGCTGGATGTATGAGCTGTTGCTTTTGCCAGTGACTGTATATTCTTAACAGTTAAAGGGAAAAGGAATGAACAGTACTGACAAAGATTGCCCATGTGTCAATAAGGGACAATGCCAAGTGTAACCAAGTAAGATCACTCTTGTGGCCGCTTCTGGAAACTACTGTCCAGATGGATAACATCACCATACACCTAGGCGTATGCTGGTCACTGCGCTGGAAAATGCGTATATTATATGGTTACATCCTCCCTGCAACTTTTTTAAACTTTTAAAATTTTTATGAGTACGTGTTTGCAGTATATGAAGATTATATTGACTATGGGGAGTTGCTACTTGTACACAGCACATCCTACTCTTGCTACAGCCATTACTTGCCCGAGAATCCTAGAAACCAACTACTTAGACCTGTGTGTGTGTGTGTGTGTGTGTGTGTGTGTGTGTGTGTGTCCTTCTTTACGTTCTCTTAGGTTCTTCTGGAGACGACATCCTCAACTGCGAAACGTCGAACTCAATTTTATTTCTCTATTCTGGCCATCCTTGCCCGACGGTATACAGGCTGCCTACGAGGATTCAGAGAAAGACCTAGTTTTCATATTTAAAGGTGACTTCCTAAAGTTTTTCTCTCATTTTAGTTGTGACAAATGGCAGAGGTGGCATTCTTTGTTGTCAGTGCGGGTTTGACAGAGCTGAGCTGAGGAGAGCAGTGCCGCCAGGTTTTTGTGGGGAGATGAGGCTTGCTTCCCCCTTGATCATGGACCACCGTGTGAATTTGAGCCCGGTGTTCACCTTCTTGAGGCGTTAGTATTCCCCTGAATAAAATAAGACCACATCAGACCATCATTATTATTTCCCTACCATTATCCTAGATAGAATTTGATAACCTCACCCTCACCCTGGATAGGTCATAATTTAGTTTCTGTATAGAAGCTACATGAAGTAAGGCATCCAACTGTGGAGCCCTGAATATGAGGACTAAGAAGTCCAAGTGGTGAATTTTTGAAAGTAGGAGGAAGAATCACTAAGGATACCATAACTGCCGTGAACTTATCTTTGCCACCTTCATCTTTCAAAGACTACTCGTTCCATTTCAATTTCTATGATGAATTTATAGAAAGACCAAGAAATGCTACATATTATTGTGTAGAAATGGAAGAACCTTACTTGACATATAACCTGAATCACTGACAGGAAACCAATACTGGGTTATGAGTGGCTATGACATTCAGCAAGGTTACCCGAGGGATATATCAAACTTTGGATTTCCAAAAACTGTCCAAGCTCTTGATGCAGCTGTTTCCTACAGAGGAAAGACATACTTCTTTGTGAGCAATCAGTTCTGGAGGTAAGATAAGCTACATTTTTTCCAATTAGAAGTTAAATTCTGTGCTCCTCTACCCTGTTTACAAACCATTAACAATCACGCACGAAGATTTGAGAAATCTAGATGGTCTCTGATAGGTTTTGGTGAAAATGTACCCATTCTCATAAGATAATTGAGATTACTATGGATTTTGAAAACTTATTTTTACAAAATCAAAATGCCTGCAAAATACTGTTAAGGACTGTGAATCATGAAAAATGACACAACTTCATAAAGTGCTAAAATGGGATGCAAAGGAAGACATAGGCTAATTTTCATGTATGAGTTAAATTCTGACACATTCAAGCAACTATTGCCCATTAGAATATATATATCTATTAGAATTTGATGCCCCAGATTAACTTATTGTTTACCTTTATACATACACACATACCTACAGATAGAGAGATATATCAGTTAAGTAAAATCCTTAGAACATATAAGATCTTGTTTTTGGCAATAATCTTGCATCAGCCATAAGAAACCTGTTTTATAATTAATGATAACCATCAAGGTTATCCAAGTATAATGATAAAATATAGCAATAAGCATCTGAGTATAACTGATGTATTACACATAAGTTTTACACATAAGTATGTACACTTAGGTAAAAAGATTAACCATTCCTAATCCCAGGAAATAGGACATTGTGAAGACCAAATTTTAAAAATGTGTGAAAGGGCACTTTGTCAATATACACACCATTAAAAGAAAACTATTATCATTGTGATCTATACCAGTCTTAAATCATGTGATATTTTATTCTTATCAGATATGACAATCAGAGACAATCCATGGACCCAGGTTATCCCAAATGCACATCAATTGCCTTTCCAGGAATAAGAAGTAGAGTTGATGCAGTTTTCCAGGAGAATAGTAAGTATGAGGAAAAAAACTTGCTAATAAACTTGATTAAATTTTAAAGTAGCGTATTTACATTGCATGTGATATTGGAGTGGGGGCAGGATATTTAGTTGAAGATATCTAGGATCTTCTGTAAACTAATTCAATAAATTAACTCTTTCTTTATAGACTTCTTGCTTTTCTTCAGTGGACCAAGATATTATGCATTTGACCTTACCGCGCAGAGAGTTACTAGAAGTGCAAGAAGCAATCTATGGCTTAATTGTAGATAAAGCTGAGGCAACACCAAAAGCAACTGTACCCATTTTCTGAATATGGAAGGAAAATTCAACTTGCAAATCCATCACTTTAAATCATGTTTATACTTCCCTTGATTCTAAGTAATTTTTTTATTCTCTTCCTAGCACTATATTCCCCGGGTCCATCCTCAGTGCAAATACACTTGGAATGTTAAGCCCTTGCCAGAGGCTGATTCAGGTCCACACGTTCTACCTTAGGTTAGCAAATCTATCACAAAGAGAAGGAAAGTCAGCCCTCTTTGCGACCTCTCTATTCTCTGTTTCCTTATTTATTTGACTTCCAAAATTCATTGTTTCATTGCTTGCTTGTCTGACTTCAAATATTTCTAAGTCCCTTTAAATATATCTTATATGCATCTGCTACATGCCATTTAGCACTGGATTTTGATTAGCAGTAAGAATTATTAAAAAAAATAAGCAAGTTTGGTTTTATAAAACTTGTGCTATTTTTCATGCTTGGAAAGAAATAAAGATAATATATGTTGCAGATTGAATTGTGTCTCTCCCAAAAAATATATGTTGAAGTCTTAACCTCAGGTATCAGTGAATGTGAGATTATTTGAAACCAGCATCTTTGCATATGTAATTAATTATGTAAAGATGGCATCATACTGAATTAGGGTGAGCCCTTAATCTGTATAACTTGTGTCCTTACAAAAACAAAAGGGGCTGAGGGTAGCACTTGCCTCGCATGCATGAGTTTTCTGGTTCAATTCCCAGTAGAAGGGGAGAGGAGAGGGAGAGGGAGAGGGAGAGGGAGAGGGAGATGGGGAGGGAGAGGGAGAGGGGGAGGGGGAGGAGGAGGTGGGGAGAGAGAACGCTAAGATACAACAGAGATTGCTCAGCTGGAGTGATGGACCTAGAAGACAAAGCCCAACCAGGATTTCCAGCCCCACCAGGAGCTGGGAAGAAGCAAGAAACAATTTTTCCCTATAATCTGAAAGAGGACATCGTGACTCTGTGATACCTGCAGACTCCCACACTGTGAGAGAATAAATTTCTGTTGCTTTGAGCCTCCAAGTTTATGATGTGTTGTTATAGCAGTCCGAGGAAGCTAACACAGTACATCTGCAATTAAAAAAGGGAATCAACACAAAATGCCAAATTGAGTTCCTGCTAAGAATTACGGGGCAATCTTCCCAGGGAAGAAGCCAAAAAAAAGGAGGTTCCACTTTCTCTTCTGCCTCCTTCCTGTTCTGCTTCACCAGTCTGTGCAAATGGTTAGCTGGATCTAGTGCTCTTTAGCTCATTACTTTCTGAGATACTAGAGAGGGCACATTCTATACATGCCATGACATGACCATGTCTATACATACATGACTGGGGTTTACTACACAAACAGAACAGAGCTAGGCACAAAATTCAGAAGATCTTATTCAATCGAATTAATTAATCCTATTGATGTTTTATGTGAACTTTGATGCACAAATCTGCTAACAGTTCTTTTTTCTTAAAAATCTCAGGACTTGTGAGACCTCAATGTCTAGCAAGGCATCAAAATCATACTTTCACATTTAAAGGTATTACAGTGTAATGCAGCTTGTTATGTAATAGATATGGATTGTAAAATATATTTCTCACTAGCACATCCTGTATTCTTTTCTATTTAAATCACACAAATAACTAGTATGGCACCTTATTCTAACTCAAAATTATCTATGAAATGAGTTCAAAATATTTTTATTTTAAATGACTGATCTGTGATCTACTTATAATTTCTTAAAGTGACACCACATAGTTCATGCAAAGTATGAAAAGAGGATATTTGGAGCCATTTATCCCCTTGTCTGAATTATCATATCAATAGTAAATTTTTATAACTGTCATATTTTATGAAAATTTTACACATAGTATGGCTCAAAAATTCCCTCAAATATGTCAGCACTTTATTTTCAACTTATTTTATAAGATGAGAAAGGAGAGACTAGTATAAACTATCACTCTCCTCATTCATTCCTCATTGATTCGGCAGGAACCCGTTAATCACCTATAAGATTGTGGTGCTGTGCTAGGGAATGGAGAGGGATGCTTATCTAATTTATTTCACTGGTGTGACAAGTGCAGAAGCGTATTTGCGTATTTCATTTTTAACCATAGAGTCAATTTCAGCCTGCTAAATTTGCTAAAACTTCCTATAAATGTCGATTTTTACAGTCAAAAAAATGAAACATGCATTTTCTCAAAACACTTGCTAAATCTGTAAAACAGTCATAATAGGTTCTTGATTCAAACTTCATCTATTGCATTTTTTTGACATGAGAACTAGGTTCATATTATTTCTTTAACTATATTTCACAGTTATGGGAAATGGATCACAATATAAAGCACGATAAAGATTTTGAAAATTTTTTATTTCCTTCTTGACGACATATTTTCTGGCTGTCCCACTGATGTCCTGTGTGAGTATAGGAGGTATAAGAATTTAAACTTAAACCTAGGGGCTGGGGATTTAGCTCAGCGGCAAAGTGCCTGCCTGGCAAGCGCAAGGTCATGAGTTCGGTTCCTGGTACCGGAGAGAAAAAAAATAAATAAATAAATAAACTTAAACCTAAAGATTCTTTTTTATTTAGGTTGGGTCCATCAAAACTAAGTCAAGATCTTGGTGCAGTTGTGTTTTTTGGGGGGGCACATAGTCCTAAGAAGCAAGAGTGAGGGAAAAAGTGAGGTGAGGCAGGGAAGAAGGAGAGGCCAGCACAAGACAAGGACACGGTACCAAGCTTTCTCCTATGGACAACTAGCGCTTGATTCCACCAGGCCCCCTGAGGAGCCTCCAGAGCACTGTTCAGTTGTTCTTGTCTCCAGTGAACAAGAGACTGGAACATTCCTTCAGGTCCAGTCCACGCTGGGTGAGGTTTGTTATACTTCCGGGATGCGTCCTCACGCTGACCTGGCAGCTCTGTGGCATCACTCTGGTAGAAACCAGAGAGACACAGCAGTGCTTAAGACTGGACTTTGTCACAGCAGGGTGAGCCATGCAATCCTGTCCACCACTGCTGCAGGTAAATCAGAGGGATGCCAAGGAGGTATGGCATAGGGCACCAGAGGCATTTCCTGCAACTTTGCTGCTGGGGGAATTAAATGATGAGAAATTGGAGGAGCCCTCTCTGGAGCAAATTAAGAGCCTAGGAGAAAAGATTTATAGATGTGGACACTAGAGAAATTTCAATATGGCCCAGGCTGCTAGTAACCTACTGTGACATCCATCCATTCTCCACTTCCTCTTCTGCAAGGAGACCCCATTTCCATCCAACGTGACAATGCAGCCAGCTAAAACACTGCATTTTGTACCGTTTCTTAAAGCTAAATGTTGTGATGTTTTAACTTCTAGGCAAAATGTGTAAACTGAATATTGTGTGGAACTTCTAGAAAAAGACTGAAAATTTACTTTTTCTCTATTTTTCCCTTTCCTCTGCCTATAATGCAGATGCACTGGTTAGAGCTTGAGAAATCAGAGCAACAGGCACTGTACTAAGGGGAGGAGTAGCAAGGCAGATGTTCCCTACGTTCCCGCGGATGTGGAGTTCCCATAGATGCCCTGGACGACCAAAACTTCTATCTGAGGGAAAAGTACATTTTAATTTTATTAAGCACCTGTTATTTAGGGGTTTTCTGTTGTGTTCAAACCATCACATCCTGACTACTACAGCACATTACCGGTCTGGGCTCCGTCCCACTTCTCTGCAATGAAGGTCACAGTCCACCAGTCCTGCCCATGCACGTGGGCACATCCAGTCAGCTTCTCGTCTCTCAGTCATACGCAGACCGCACATCACAAAGTCACCCACCATCTGAAAAAAGAGTCCAGTGGAAAAAACGGAAATAAAAGAAACTTTGAAGAGATGGGGACCAGCTACAGAGCAAAAGTAAATATTAAAATAAATAAAAATATTTAACATTATCAAAAAACACAATATCTTACATGCCAAAGGCTGGGGATATAGCTCAGCAGCATAGCGCTTGTCTGGCAAGCGTGAGGTCATCGGTTCGATTTCTGGTGCAAGAAAAAAAAAAACTGTACATGCCAAAACACTTACAATGTAAAAAAATGTTATAAAAGAACAGGTTACTCAGAGAACTGGAAAGAGCTCCTTGAAATTAAAAATGTGATTGGTGAAATAGTCAATAGGTGAGCTAGGAAACAAAGTAGGTGGGATAAGTAAAGATTATATTAGAACAAAAACTCAGTCCAAGAGGATCAATAGATACACATTTCAGAAAATAGTAATAAAAATAAAAATGACAGGAGAAATTATAAAAGAAATAATATAGGAGATTTAATTTCCAATCAGTTTGGCCCACTTACCAGAGATGTTAACTAGAAAGTGTTAACAGAAGGAATCTCACATCAAGAGGCAAGATGAGTGAAATTTCAGAATGTTTGGAGAAAGAGAAAATATCCAAAATTTTTCAAATTTTCAAGACTCAGAATATGAGTCAATAGTACACTGGCTTCGGGAAAACAATGAGAAAATGCCCTCAGATTTCTAAGGGAAACTTATTTCAGCCTGAGAGTCTGTATAGAGACACACACATAAGTGAGGACAAAATAGAGAACATTTTGTTCTTAAGAATAGTTTCATAATATTCATTTTCCTCGCATCCTTTCTTAGGAAACCCCTCAGAGATACCTTCCATCAAAACAAGGGAACAAGGCAAAAAATGGGTAGAAATTAATCCAGGAACCAGGGATCTAACGGAGCCACAGTAAAACTTGTCTGTGTAGTCACAAGGTGACAGCCATGCAACAAACCCAGACCGAAGACAAACACTCTCAAGGGAATGAGTTGGGGGGAGGGGTTGAATGATCAGTCATGTTGGATTACTTTGAGAAGGGTTTAGGGTTCTATGGAAGACTTGAAGGAATTCACAAATTCAAGAAAAACTGGAGTTTTTCAGTTCAGCTGTCAGCTTCAGAGAAGATAACAGGTGTACACAAAAGGAGATGTAATTCCTTGTGAATGACATTTTCATGGTAATGATTGCAAAACCACAGATTATTGATTCATTAAAACTTTACAACAGTCACACTTTGGTATTGGGCTGCTTTGAAATGCTCCAAATTTGATATTCAACACATTTTAACGTGAAAATTTTGTTCTGGTTCTCAGCTTGCAAGGGATGAACTTGTCGGTGTTCATTGCCCCGCTTTGAAACGCTCCAAATTTGATATTCAACACATTTTAACATGAAAATTTTGTTCTGGTTCTCAGCTTGCAAGGGATGAACTTGTCGGTGTTCATTGCCTCATGACTTGGTGCCGTTTCCAGTCAGAACAATCCGTTTGGTGCCCATCAGTTTTGGTCCTCTTTGTATTCCCAGGACTAATTAATGTCAAGTATGGAGCTACTACCACATAACCCACTTAGGAAAAGGAAGAAGTGAGGCGAAGGTGGAGTCCTCCTCTTTCATAGAAAAACGTTGATAACATAAAGGTTAAAACATTGAAAACTCAAGAAGCAGCAGCATAAATGTGCTATTTAGAAGTGTAGAGTTA